GGCTGGGGAGGAGGTCCCAGCGCCGCGCAGTCTCAAGTAACAAATTAGTATGCAGTGGTCAGTCACATCAGATCTAGCAGTACTTGATGGCTAGACTTATCTAGACGTGTTCCAGACTTATCAAGCATGCTGCATTGAAATGTCTTTCCTGTCGATGCTGTTCATGATTTCGTTGGAAACTGAGAACGGCGTGGTTTACATCGACTGATGGGGACGTTGACTGTGCTGGGGGGCTGAGAAAAAGAGCTGTGGGAGATACAGAGCTGGAACAGTCGTTCATTCCTCACTCCTGTCTGGGTAATAACTAGGACGAGGGTATGGTCGTAAAACTGGATGGATTGGACGCATCACTGGATTTGTGGATGGCATGAGCAAGGAAATGCATAGCAGAGATTGGAAACATCGAAATGGTTTGTGCAAAAATTGACGATAAGAATGATGACGTCATCAATCTCAGGAAACGCAGCCTTTTGCACACGGATGCAGGCACCGCCAGCACCGCAGGCGGCCGAGCAGCGCATGCTTGAAAGGAATGCTGCACATTTGAAGATATTACAGCAAGTATCAGATGTGATGAAATAAGCTCACTTATAACTTTTGGTATGCTCCGGAATGGAGAAGACTGCTCTAGCCAGCGGGATTTCGCTATTTAGCAAATATGCTCCTCAATACGCCGCTGCTTTATTGCATTATGACAAGTTTGCACGACGCTGAGGAGCTGCCAACCTAGCTTTGCGACATTGCCGCACTAGCAGCCACTTGTACTCAAACCGGCCGAGAAATGGCGGTGGCGGTGCTGGAAGTGTTCCCTGAGCCAAATACCGGTATGTGGTGATGCTTTGGCCTCTTCTCGTGGTGTTCTTGCATATTTATCCGTGAGCTTAAAATGGTTACTTGCGTTCCATGCTTGTTTATGACATTCTTAAGTTATCTCATTGCTTGCCTTATTTTCGTAATAACTGGCAATTATGTCTAACTTGTTACATAAGAGAGCACAAAACGTGATTTGTGATTGCAACTTGCGCAGCCTGCTCAACATTGATCGGAAGCCAACTGATGTCCGAGATGTTCAGAAATCGCGCTCACGGACGTCAGATCTGAACGGCTTGACAGTAATATTCTTCCTGGCCTTGACCGTCGCATGGCACGGGGTGACAGGATGTAAAATGGCGTTGCTATGACGCCACGCATGCCTGAATGGCCTTAACATGGTCTGCACAAAAAGTCTGCACATCTTTGCAGGTACGTAGCTCAGAAACTAAAGGATTTTTGGAAGAATTGCAATGGCAGGGCTGAGAATTGCATCGGATGATCTTCAAAATGGCTATTCCAGTTCAACATCATATGCATATGTGGCACACCCGCTTTAAGACCGCGTTTGCCAGTATTCCAAAACTGACCAGCGACAGCTCGAAAGAGCAGCGCTCAACTCGGAGACTGCGGCTTTCGAGATTGGTGGCTGGTCCGTGGGTGGCAAGCTGGGCGGTCACGTTGAGACCGACCGAAACGAAGCATTGTTTAGTTTGTCCGCAGCCATCTAATGCACCGACCTCTGCCCGTCACTTTTTGTCGCCGATCATGCTCTACCTTGGACCACGTCGTGGTCGGCCCCCGTTCGCTTAAGCGTTGCAGCCTGCCGCTCCGCGAGTGGCAGTGAAAGGCGGATTGAATGATCGATTTCTGTTTTGTTGTTCCTTGGCTCCCGTCCCAGCCCGCAAAGAGGCACACGGCAGCGGGTCATGAGCTCTCTTGTACCATAGCTGTCGTAGGGGCGATCAGGCTTACACTTGTAGTTTTACATGGAGCAAACAGGCCTCCCATCATTGCCACGTGCGGTTTTAATCAGGATGTTGCAGATTACTTCATTTATATGCAAACTAAACTCGGGCGAGGCAAAATAAAGGTCTTTCCAAAACCTTTCAGTCAAAGGCAGACGATAACTAAATCATTTACGCCAGTTTGGTGAACGAAATAGTTGGTGTTCTTTGCATTGGCCTCCATATTTGGAGACAGCCTGGGCTGGGTCTGGGCGGTGAAAGCCTGCAACCATTCACTCAGCTCAACAACACCTGTCATCGCTCATTTCCCGAGGCACTGCTCTGTGCTGGCAGCAGACGAGGACATTGACGATGTATATAAGCAAGATATGTCCGCACGCGTTATATATATATATATATATATATATATATATATATATATATATATATATATATATATATATATATATATATATACGGCATCACTTGCTAACACAAATTCTGCGCTTGTCTGATTATTTTTTTCAGCAAACTTGATGAGAAAGCAAACTTGATTTTCAGCACACAGAAATGTGCAACTGGCTCTTGAATTTTTCATAAACAGGGTCTAGGTATGGTGTTGTGATCTCGGAATTATTTCATTCCTTAAGGATGCTCAATGTCTTTCAGACATTTCAAGTTGCAATCCAATGGCCAGGCTCAGTGCAATGTATACCGTTTGCTGTCACATTGTTACCAGACGTTTGCCACCACTGGCACCAATATCCGCACGCGTATATCACGCAGGAAGCGTCTTCCTGGTAATAAATCAAATGCAGCACCTGAGTAACACCGTTCTGCAATGTCATGTGAGCACGTGTACTCGACCCTCGTTCGTATAAAGGCGCCAGTTTTCGCCAGCATCACAACCGCACTCCTGTCCTGGCATAGCGGTCGGGACAGAATCGAAGAGAAATGGAGCTTATATCACTACTGGTGAGTAAATCGCGAGTATTGGTGGTCTGCATGGAACGTTATCAAATAGTAGCACAACGTTTCACTCTTGCCGATTGGGGCATTGACGTACGTGTAAACCACGAAAGGCTCGAGTTCAGTAATCACTACCTGGTTGACCTGCTTTCGAAAAGGTATCTGTTTCCGTACACTACAACTGGATTTCTGGTCACCGTCGATCTCGGCTTAAGCCATGATGTGTTATATACGAGGCCGATTTCGTAAAATGACATCGGCCGCTTCCTGAACACTCCTGGCGACATTTTCGGTCTGGCAGTGTTGAGATTGTTTAACAATCTGCAGACGGTGTGTTTGCCTACGCCGTACCAATAACGTCACCTCTCTCCCTGGTCTGGTTAGCGAGGTCTAACATAAACTCTATAGCACACCTGAAACTGACTAATCCAGGGTTTGCGCATAATTGCACGTGGTGGTCTGTGCACGCCGACCGACATTTCTACCAAATCGATTGTCCATTTCTCTTCCGTCTAGTTCGTTTCAGGTCGACGGCACGTCTGATTGTGGGGATTTCCTAGATCTGTTTCTATCTCGTCGTCTTCAAAATTGTCGCGATTTGAGACTTTTGTGCTTCCCATGTTGAAAAAATACGCAGCTAAGATAACGGTGACATCGCAATGTTTTAGGACTACGCCGCCTGATTAAATATATACTTCTTAAGAGTTCAAGCGTAAAAAACGCAAGATAATATTTGACGTATGAAACCTACTTTCGATTTATTTAACGAAGCATCAGTCACATAATTCAGCATACGCGACATCTAGCGAAAGATTACCGCGGCGGCGGAGCCAAAATTCAACTCAACTGCTGTTTGGAATACGCTTGCAGGTGATGCTGTTCCATCCAAGCCATACACCATCATCGAGGCCAAAACGTCAAAATGGAACTGCTCGCATGAGGAAGGAATTGTTACGTTAACTCAAAGTGGGGCTGTACTGTAAGGCCTCCGGAATGTTTCTTAAGTAGACCACAAGCGAAAGACCATACTTACATAAGGGTGGAAAACGTGCATTTTTGTAGTTCTGATGTTAAGATCTTGTCATGGCTCTGGCTAAATTGGCCCCATAACTGGCATAGGTTTGTTTATGCAACATACATGACCATTATTGCGTTTTTAATGAAACCGATGATGCCGATTGATACGCACCAAAGTACATTTATATAACATATCCAGAACAATTCAGTTAGCGATGTGTTTTAAAATTGTGAGAACACCTTTCGGCTCTTAAGTCATAACATTTTCATATGCATAGTTATTGTCTAGAAGCTAGAAAACATAGCGTCAGAAAACTGCAGCTGTACCATTGCCTGGTAGGCACTGAACAAAACCAAGCTGTTACAGGTGTAAATGATCGTTATGTCACATTGCTCGACACATTTTTTGTTCTAGTGCAGAGATAACAAGTCACCGGTAGCATTTGCTGAAGTATTTTAGGAAGACTTATTAACTGTCAATACGCTTGTATAAAGCACGAACTTGTTCCTCAAGTCGACAACTTCTGGCCCCATCATAACTGAAAATCAACCATCAATCCCTATTTCATCTCTCGCGCCACAGAACTAACAGTCCCTGTGTGGATTTTAGTCACTAGTATTTGTTTCTATTTTTGTGCCGCAGGTATTGGCTGCGCTCCTTCCGGTGGCCGTACCGGACCCAAGGGTGCCGAACCTGCTACCTCTGCACAAGCCCGCCCTCATCGAGATGTCGCCGGAGCGGCTGCGCGCGGCGCTCAACTGGGCGCGACACAAGGTGGCCGGGTATGGGAAGCTGGAGAAGGCCCGCGTGTTGCCGAGTGGCTCGCTCTCCACCCATCACCAGCGGTACTCCGCGAGCGACCCGGAGACCCAGTGGATGGGCCGCGAGGCGCTGGCTTGGGTGGAGGCGGCGCGCGCGCCGGCCAACCTCAGCGAGTGGGTCACGGAGGAGGAGCCCAGCCGCGCGACTCGTCCCACGCCGCGCTGCAGCAAACGCCCCCGCTTCCGGCGTCAGGACGGTGCGTGCAACAACGCAGAGAACCCTCTGTGGGGCGCGTCAGACACGCCGCTGGTCCGTATGCGGCCGGACACGTTCGAAGACGGTGTGAATGCGCCGCGAAGCCGCGGACGGTTCGGCAACCAGCTGTCCTCGGCCCGCCTCATCAGCCAGAGGGTCACAGGCAGCTCTAACGTGGCGAACAGGCAGATCACGTTGTCACTCGTCAACTTTGCCCAGTTCATTGACCACGACTTCACGCTGTCGCCGATCTTCGCCACCCGGTACGGTGAGGAGCTGGAGTGCTGTCGGAACGGCCAGGTCATCACGTCAGGCCAGCACCCGCAGTGCCTGCCGATCATGATCCCGTCCAACGACCCGTTCTTCGGGCCTCTCAAACAGCGCTGCATGAACTTCGCCCGTTCAATCCCGGCGGCCGGGTCCCAGCCGGGGCCGACCATCACCAAGAACGTTTTGACCGCCTTCATTGACGGCAGTGGCATCTACGGCTCGCGCTCGTCTCGCGCCTACCAGCTGCGCACCCGCAGAGGCGGCCTCCTGAAGACGCAGGGACGTAATCTGCTGCCGCGGGTGCGCTCCTCCACAGAGACGCTGTGCTTTAGCCCCGACCAGAAGAGACGGCCCTGCTTCATGGCTGGGGACGTACGCTCGAACGAGCAGAGTGGCCTCACCATAATGCACACCATCTGGCTGCGCGAACATAACCGGATTGCTCGCGCTCTGGCAAGCATCAACCGGTGCTGGAATGACGAGCGTTTGTTTCAGGAGGCTCGCCGGATTGTAGGTGCTGAGCTGCAGCACATTGTCTACAACGAGTGGCTCCCGCTCGTTATCGGCCGGCGGTACATGCAGAAGTTGAACATCGAGACCCAGCGGCGTGGCTACTCTTCGCGGTATTCGCCGGAAGTCGACCCGTCGATCGCCACGGAGTTCTCGACGGCCGCGTACCGGTTCGGCCACACGATGATCCAGGGCCAGATCCAGATGTTCCAAAGCGTCCAGAGCCCGCCCCCACCTGTCAGCCGAGCCGTCAACGTGCGTGACGTGTTCTTCGACCCGGCGCTCTTCTACGAGGGCCGGCTGGGCGAGCTCGCCATCGGCATGATCACACAAAACGCGCAGACGTGCGACGCCAACTTCGCTGAGGACCTCTCCGAGTTCCTCTTCGTGGAGAAGGGTGGCACCTTCGGCATGGACCTCGTCGCGCTCAACATTCAGCGCGGTCGCGACCACGGCATCGCCACCTACAACACGATGCGTGAGCACTGCTTCCTGGGCCGCGTGGCCAGCTTCACCGATCTGCTTCGCTTCATGCCGCTCTCCGTGGTGAGCCGCCTGCGAAGTGTCTATCGACACGTGGATGACATCGACCTGTTCGTGGGTGCCGTGTCCGAGCGGCCGGTGTTCGGCGCCGCCGTCGGCCCCACCATTCGGTGCATCCTTGCTGACCAGTTTGCCCGGCTGCGCTGGGGAGACAACTTCTTCTACGACCTCGGTGGCCTGCGGAGACCGTGGCGCTTCACCTCGAGACAGCTAAGCGAGCTCAAGAGGTCCACCTGGGCTCGGGTTCTCTGCGATAATGTGAGCGGGATCAGCAAAATTCAGCCTGAAGCCTTCCGCGCTCCGGGACGCAAGAACGTGATCGCATCATGCAGCCGTTTACCGACAGTCAACCTGCAGCGCTGGAAGACGTGCTGTTAAGCTGTTCACATCCCCAGATATCGACACAGATACTGATAACAGAGAACCCATGACATGAGACGATTTTCATGCGCTTCTTTATTTTGGGGTGAGCAACAGTTGTATGCGATGGGAGTAACAGCAACATGAACAGCAGGTGTACGCGTCATGTTGAAACGATGGGGGCCATCAAAACGTCCAGGATTGCAGCGTCCGGCGTTCACATAGTTCAAGATCGCAACATCCAGCTTTCATAACGTCCAGCATGCGTCCAATTCCGTGGCCATTGGGGACGTTTATGAGATACAGGCGCGAACGTCAAGAGCCGCAAAGTTCAGAATAGTTAAGTCCAGTGTTCAAAACGGCCAGTATCCCCGGCACTCAGGCTAGCTCGGATTCTTGCCGCTAGATGACACTACACAAACATTTTTGACTCCTGCCGCGATTCCCCGCTTTTATTCACTGATGGCACAGTCAGTCTGGCATTCCACCGATGATCACGTGATGCTTACGGTGGAGCATGGTTAATATAAATTACCCAGACGCCTGGAGGCCGTGTCCAGCCTGGGTACACTCGGTTGCTGAGGGGCCTTTCATATTGGTACCGGTTTTTTTTTCACTAGCTTGGAGGACCCCTAGCAGTTGCTGGGGCCCATATAAGGTAACGCACCGATGACACTCGATGCTCGGGGCCCTCTTCATTGACATACGGCTCTTTCCTTTTCGAGTTTATTTGCTGAGGACCCTTCACTTTTCAGAGCCCTTTCTGTTAACCTGCCCGGGCACTCTTGATCACACAGGGGCGTTAATTCATGTATACTGGTCTTCGGTTACCCCCTTTGTCCAGAGGATCCTGTGCTCTGGCCGGACCCTATATGTTAACCTGCCGGGGTACTCCAATCATTCAGGGGCCCCACCGTAATGGTGTAAGGTTCTTCTCGCTTGTTACGAAGACGCTTCGCAGTTGACGGGAGCCTCTTTATTGGCCTGCCGCGGCAGTTTCGATCGCTCTGGTGTCGTCCTTATTGGTTTTGGGTTTTTCAGCATTATAGGAGGGCCTACGCCGTTGGCGGGGACCTAGATCTTAATGATTTTGCTTCGGGCTTTGCAGTCTTGGGGCTCTTGGGGCTCTTCACTGGCACATGAAGTGTAATAGTTGGTATCGAAACACTAATTCACGTTATCGGCCCCAAGTTGAAACGGCGCAGAGGATCCCTCGTCAGGTACTGGTGCCCCTGACTTGAACAGGCCTCTCCACTGTCTCATTGTACATATGAACCCTTTTTTGTCGTTTCCCATGAATCCCTTCATTTTCAGGAGGGGCAAGAGCAGCACAATAGGACCTTTGACATACGGGGTCCCATCATCGTCCCTAGTCAGCAAATGTGCTCCTGGCCGACCTGGAGTTTATTGCCGACACATAGTCTCCTGCTAGCGACTGTGGTCACTGGCTAGCAATGCGGGTCCTTCATTGCTTTCAGGTGTCCCGAAGAATGTAGGACGCCTCCTGATTGACATTTAGAGATATTAGCCTTGTCTCTACTCGGGGAATACCGCTAGGCCCCAGAATGGCACGGAACGGACTGTTCTGTTCTATACTGCCGTTCTCAGTCAGCTACCTCAAGTAAAGACACAGTCTCATGGGACCTCCGATGAGTGCTAGAGCCACGCTAACATTTTAGGGCCCGGCCTTCGGGAAGTGATCCCTCCTTACAACCTCTGGCCTGTCCATGGGACCCTTTAATCGGGCTCTTGATTTTCGGCCCCAAGGGACCAAAAAAGGACCCTCGGTACCCAAGGGACCCTCGGAGCCTAAGAGGTAGGGTGGGGGAGTCGTGCTTCATTCGGTTTTCCATGATGATAAAGCTTTAGGGGTCTTTAGGAGCATTTAAAAGTGCCCCGAAAGTTTTGCATCGCTCTAAAAGAAGTGTTTGTGGTGACTGTGATGTTCCAACTTACACTGGGTGCTGATGAAAATAAATGCTGTAATGCTTCGCAATCAAGGTTCTTGATGCCTTTTTACCGAAGGAGCCGAACCAGGATTTCGTCAGAGCGTAAGGCAGGGATATCTGTGTAAAACTACCCAGCGATTATTCTCTTCACCAGCGATTTATACCGATGAACTCTAGCCGGAAGGGCTTAGAAACTGTGTAAAAGAGTGCAACATGCAACAGCAACAACAACTACGATGAAAATGAGATACGGCGGGCCAGACAGGCTCGAAGCACCCCGAGATTCGCATTGAGAAGTTGTAATGCACATTCTGCAGCCTTAGTGGGAGCGTTGTCAGGTTGGACGCAGGGCTGGTCTGCCCTTATGAGGTTAGTGAGTGGTGAGCCCCGAGGGCTTGAATACAGCGCATGCCATTTCAGTACAAGGTAGCATAATTTTCCTCTAAAATGGGCCGATTTCTGGCAAGTTTTGCAATTTCTGCCAGTTAAAGAGTGGAAGCCAATATCTCAGCTCTGAAATAGTCTAATAGGGATATTTTAGGACGCTGGTGATACGATTATCTGGGCACCATTTGTATCTAACCTATCCAACATTATAGGTCTGCAAGTTAACCAAAACGTAGGAAGATCATAGCACAGCAACAGCGAAATTATTGACACCTGCCTTCCTCACATTACTTTATTTTCACATTTCACTCCATATAGGTACTGCAGTGCAAGGCTTGGATCTTCACATTTGTGGGTGAAACTCTGGATAGGCCAAATCACACTAAATTTTCAAATTATTGGTGTGTAAAGAGATGTTTTGGCATATGTCTGCTTGAAACTACCTTTGTGACATCATAATTCCTTTAAACATTGGCTCTCTCACCACTGGAGTTGGTGGTACCTGTGTGATGTGATAACTTATGAGCTCTTGGATTTACGGGATATGTGCTGAAATTGCCCCAATGGTGTCACGGCTATGCTAGTAGACGATCTACCATTATCCCAGACATGTCAAATGCAGGGAGCTAGAATCGCTTTTGAACTAGGGTGGGAGTGAAAAATTCCATCGCAAAAAGACCGTGCGGGAGTGAAAAAATCCATTCACAAAGGACGGAACTTATGAGCTCGTGACGGATGCTTCAGCATACAAAGACATCTATTTCAAGTTGGCATGGACGTAATACCAGAAACCTGACAAAGCTATTTCGTTTTTAACATCTTAGGCCATTAAAGTGAAACAGAATACATTAACACGCGCTCGGGTGGTGGGGGGGGGGGGGGGCAACTTGACCCTTCCCCCCGAGGGCTATTCCCGAATGGTTTTTGAACAGCGCAGCGTAGCAGCGCCACATTTTGCATAGCTGTAGAAAATTGCACAGCAGATCGTTTAACATACCAATTTTAGATGTACCTTGCAACGTCGCTGACCTATGACAGGTCAAAGTCATCCAATCGTTTCAGCGAAGGCAATTTCTAGGGAATCCTTCAATCTGATTCAACAACGGAGTGTTTGACGAAGACATTAACATTTGAGATGCTTTCTTAGGCACCGCAAATATTGAATGAACAAATTGCGCTGACTTGAGGTCAGGTATGATGGTCAGACCAAGGTCAAAACCAACCTGATTTATTACTCTAGGGCTTGCTGTATGGGATAGTTTCTGGTGCTCATTTCGAATTTATTGACAGCAGGAACCGCATTATACATTTTCAATTGACTTCTTAAAGGTCAGAACAGGCCATTGACCTCAGACGACCCGGGTCCAACGTTTTGTTTTAGGAACATACCGCCTAGCGTAATCTTTGTCGCTTATTCAAATGAAAACGCGGAGCAGTCTTGGATCATTTTGGTCACTATGACCTTCAAAGGGTCAAACAAGGTCAATGACCTCAAATGGGCTTGTGACCTATTGCTTAAAGACAGTTGCTTAGGCTCTGGGGGCGCTTTGGAGACCAACCAGGAATTTGACATTATTGGACCTTATTCGACCTGAGGGTCATGACCTAGGAAGCTGGAACCCTAACCTCAATGAGTTCATGTATAGGTCAAGCCACCCTGTAAATTTGGTGCCTCTAACTTTCTTAGTTCACGAGATCTCAGCGGGGGGTTCAAATTACCCCCCCCCCCCCCCACCACACACACACCCGAGCGAAGGGTATCTAGCTGGTCAACCGGGCGCGTGTTAAAGCATAGTAATTTCATGACAGTATTATGAGCATAACATATTATTAACACTAATAATTTGAAGCTGCACTTTTAAATTCCCTTCCACAGCACTTTTAAAACAAACAAAGCAAAGCAAAGCAAATTCAATAACATTATAACAACAGAAAATTCAACAAGCATAAAACACTCAAACAAAAAAACATTGGACCCTCCACATCAGCCCAGCACCAAGTCAAACACAATAGACATACTTCTGGCTTCAGTTAAGGTGGGGTCAGGGAAAACAAACATTTTGCTACTGTTTCTTACAAAATACCAATGCTTATTTCCATGAAAGTAGCCTATGCCTAACCTATAGAGGCGGCTTACATCATCTCATCCTGTATAACCTGTTTGTATCACAGCAGCAGTTGTGAGTTACTGATTCTTGCACAATTCGTATTGCCACTTGCCATGCACTTGACCAACTTAACCTAACTTAGAGTAACCCATGTGATGAACATCATCTCAACTCACCTATCTGTTGACAGCAGCACTTGTGATAAAAACATGATATTTTAAGCTAGCTTCTGGCTGGTTTCAACTTGCATTTTTGTTCAGTTCATTTTTGCATGCTTGTTGACATCAGACAAAGTTGACAACATGCAAATTAAAACTCTTTAAATCACGTTGAACAACTTATTTTGATTGTCATGGTTAGCCTGTGTCACGGGCAATAGTGGGTATGCTCCACAAAACAATCTCTCTTCTCCAAAAATAGCATAAATTTTAGATGACCATGCCAGTATCGCTGCTTGCCTTTTCAGCTGCAGCAAATGCATCCATTTGGGCTTCTTCATTCATATTTAATGACAAAGTTTGAGATGTTGGCTTCACATTTTAAATGGGGTGGTCTGACTATTTGTTACATAACA